AATAAAGTTATATTAAAAATTCAAATGCCATTTACTATTAAATTAAAAACTCAAACATTTTATTAAATTAAAAATATGTGTTTCCATTTAAAAAAACAAAGTTGACCCCCCTCCAAGGCATAAGGGATGAACTTAAAAAGTATTACATAGTTAAAAATTCAAGAATAATGTGTAACTAAAGATAATAAAAAAAAAAAATGTTTAAATTATTATTATTCTGCAAGTAATTGAGTGGGTTATGATAAAAAAATCACCCTGTATAGGTTGGTTTAATCGGTTATATTAAATTTTTAGGTAATGTATACAAATTTTTTATGTCACTGCTGCAGTCAAAGCTTGAAAGATTGTTATGATGAATGAGAGGAACATTCCCATTAGTCTCCTAGTTGTATACATATTTTTTTAAGTAAGGGATAGTAGAAAATAGTAAACTAACGAAGTAAATCCACTAATACTTGTTTTATCTATTTTCGTGTAAATATTATAAACAATACTTTACTAATTTTAAAAATCTATGATTTATTATATCATTGTTATTAGATAAAAAAAAATAAGCATTACTTTTATTAGTTTATCATCGGATAAACTAATAAATGATATGAAATTTACACAAATTGTGAATATTATAATAAAAATTATTCATAGCAAAACCGTGTATATTTGCTAATATTATAGTTAGTAAAATAAAGAACAAAAATAGTTATTGTTGAATGTCTATAAAAGATGAATAAAAAAAAATTAAAAAAGACTGCACTATGGCAACATTAAACTTCAATTTACTTTAAATTATAGTGCTTCAAGAATCATATTATGATTATACTATTTGAAAAAAAAATATTTAATCAAACTAAAAATTTAACATTAATGCACAAGAAAATATCTATTTTAGCTTCGATGCGAAGCTGAGAAGGTATTAATTTTACTATGATGTGTTTTTTTATTTTTTTATTTTTTTTTTTGTGTCTGTGAACGCTCAATCTCAGCTCTCGCTGGACCGATTTTGATGAACAATATGTCAAAAGATCACAAATCGTATCTAGTCGAAGACATTACCCTCAAAAATTGAAAAAAATTCCCTCGTTCCCCGTAAACGGGGGAAATCCCCCAAAAAATTACAAATTTAAAAATCGCTAATTTTCGATATTTTTTCACTTTTTTTTACTTATAATTGCTATAACTTTTTTAAAAATGACCGAATCAATATAATTTTTTTTTTTTAGATCCCTTAGATATTTACCTATCATTTTATATATTTTTGTGAACATTTGACCCTTTAACAGACCACAGGAAGGGTTTCAAAATGGTAGCTTTTTTACAAAAAATTAACTTTTTCAACTTAACTTTTGAAAATGTTCCGGAAAGACTGACAATTTTATATATACCTTAAATTAAAGCTAATGTAATATACTTTAATTTGAAAAAAAAAAATTTGAACTCTGGACTTGTCTTCATGGTGAAAATGACTACCGTATGCAAAAATATGCTATTTTTATGAAAAAATTCTTGATTTTATAATTTACATTTTTTACTTTAAAGTGCTATAACCTTTTAAAAAATGTATGGATCAATACAATTTTTTCATGAAAAGTAGTATTCATATACATCTTTCATTGGACATACTCTTTTTTTGGTGTCTTCGTGGTGAAAACGGACATCAAAGTTAAAGAAAAACGTACGATTTCCGTGAAAAAAATCTCGATTTTATATGTTATATTATTTAATTTATATTTTATATAACTTTTGGAAAAATGTATGATTAATATTATTATTTTTTTATAATAAATATTTATATACCCCTTTCATCTGGCACGCTTTTTTTGTAAATCCGATCATACCGCTTTAACAAGGGGGGCCAAAACTTTAAACATGCGTATTGTTACTACGATATTTTCAATTTAATTTTTGAAAGTATTCCGGAAATACTGACACTTTTAAATATATCTTAAATTAAAGCTTATGTAATATACTTTAATGTGAAAAAAAAAAATTTGACCTCTGGA